GTGTGTGTGTGTGTGTGTGAGAGAGGGAGAGAGTGGTTTCCTCAGTTGGAGGCAGGGTGCGGCGGTTTGGAGCGCTGCTTTGTGTTTGTGTTAGTGGTTTGGTATGACTCGCTTTAGGATGTGGTGTCTGTTTTTTGGGGGAGTTTAAGAGTCACGGGACGAGCGTTGATCACTGGTGGCAGCATTCGACTGCTGTGCATGTGTGTGTGAGAAGACGTGTGTACATGTGCTCGTCACTCTCTGGGTCACTGGAGTTTTCCCACAATCTTGTCGGCTATGAATTCCAGTGTGGGTCTTTTCCAGTAATAAAATTCCAACTCGCTCCAGCAGCTGTTCATGGGAAGGAGCTTGTGGCCAGAGAGGATTCAGGGTTTTTTGTCCTTTCCTCAGTGATGTGGCAGCAGGTTTGGACAGGAATGCAGTCGGCAGTGAATCATTACCGATGCCACTTGGCGTTCTCTCTCTGCAGAGAAGTGACCTCACGCTGACTCATCGTCCTTTATCTCCCCTCGGTCTGAAGGTTAAGCGCTGACAGTGCGGCCTGTTCCGGGCTGTACCTGCACACGGTTCAAAATGATGCAGTGCCATTTAATTAACGGACAGATTTGTTCAGACAGGTTTCACTGGCTGTCATCATGGTTCAAAGTCATTATGACCATTCAGAGATTCCTGATGTGTTCCGAATGTGGGTGATGGACAAAACCCACTGAATAGTTTATCTGAAGCTGATCTGACCTTCAGCTATTAGAGTTAGACAGAAGTTGATAACGTCATCATCAATAATTGTCAAATGTCTTTTTTAACATATTTATTTGTCTTAAATCAAGTATCAACATTTTTTTACTCCCTATATTGGTATTGAAAATGTTTGTATAGAACTAGCCCCAAAAACCGTAACGGGTCGGGCTCCAACCTACACAAAAAAGAAATCTCATATAAAGTGGATTTTTCCTCTTCTTTGTCTCTGCAGTCGTCTCCTCTGTGCGTGGCAGCCATCCATGCAGGCGTGGTGTCCAACGCTGTGGGAGGGACGATCAGTGTGGTCAGCAGCAAAGGCATCCCTCACTATGAGGGCACACTGGCAAACAATGTCACTTCCACTGGGTAAGAACTTCCGCTCACACAAAAACCGGCCTCACTTCATAATTAATCATGTTTATTTTAAATTAAACAGAATGTGAATCTAATTCTTCATCGATGAGGCAAACTGGTAAAAATAATATTAAATAAAGTTTCAGCAGATAAACTTAGGGAGTTGTAATATTGGTAATATAATACACAACAATTTTCAATCCCGATCCTCTAATCTGACATTTCTCTCCTCAGAGGAACTTTGTCAAACAGCCTCTTCACCTTCAGGACCAATGGTGAGTTTTTCTATAAAGTGCCATTATGAGGTAGAATGTCTTTGCTGGGAGACGTCCTGTAAATGTCCGGACCGCGAGCAGGGATCTTAAAAACATCACATTAACACCTCCTACATTCTCTTGTATTGTCATCCATGATGGGCTCTGTGTTCGCAGGCTGCTATGGGACGCTGGGTTTAGAGTCTGGCGGCGTCGCAGACACTCAGCTCCTGGCTTCATCTGTGTGGGAGTGGGTCGATGGCGAGTGGGCGGCGACGGGGGCACGCCTCAAAAGGGCGGGGCTACCGTGGGGGCCTGCTCACAGCGACCAGCATCAGTGGCTTCAGGTCGACCTCAAGAAGGAGAAGAGAATCACAGGTACACAACTACTGGCACACAACTATCACACCTCTTTGTTGAATGTGTAGGTTTTTAGCTGTGGCTGATGAAGACATCTTAGGAATGATTGAAGTATCGTCTAATATGTTGGTTTTGGAATTTCTTTACTCCCTCATTGTATTGGCACCTAGAAATATTGAGTTGGTCAATGATAATTTTCACTTTTATACAAGACAACAAATACAACTGTGGGATTTTAACTTACACAACTTTCTTATGCCTTAAAAAAAAAGAAATTTAAGGAGACTATATATTGCATCTATTTATTTTATTCAGCCTGGATGTCTCATACAAACACAAATAAATAGTTTTACCTGAGCCAAAAAGTGGCAGCACAAGAAATTGCACAAGAAATTGTGCAATTTCAACACAATTATATTCCTCATGAAACCTTATTAAATATGATGCTCGAGCATGTTTTATATGAAGGCAGCATGTGCAGAGGATTTACACACACTACTTCATCACAGTGGATATTAAATACACCTCAGCCTCAGTCTTGTTTAAGTCGTCAACTCAGCCGCTCATCATCTTTTGTCTCCGCGTGTGTCCGAGCAGGCATCACCACCACAGGCTCCACCCTGAGAGAGTATCCGTACCATGTGTCTGCGTATCGGGTCCTGTTCAGTAATAATGTCCAGCAGTGGTCCATCTACAGGGAAGCAAACTCCACACAAGACAAGGTAAAACAATCACAAAATCAATAAACCATGCTTGCTCAACAATTACGTCATTGGCTTTTATGCTTCTTCTTTTTTTCCTCCTCTTCTTTAAATTACTGCAAATGGACAGGAATGTCACTTTAGAAGGCCAAGGGACCCGTACCTCGACTGTTTCCATAGCAACTGGTATTGACTAAGAGATGTTTGTGGCAGGAAATGCGAACAGTCAGTGGTTTGAGTTAAGTGCTGTGGTAGACAAGTCAAGGCTCTCGGGCATTAATAATGAATGGATATGGATTGAGTGGCCGGGTTGTTAGGCTGGAACTGCTGCTGTCTACAAGTTGCCGGGATTCTCACCGCCTCTTATTGGGTGAAGTGAAATACTTATGAGCTCGGCAAGTTGAAAAATAATCAGCTTATGGCTTTTAGTGCATTGGTTCACAGTCTGAAACAAGAATTTCTCTGATACACGTCTTTTTCCTTCTAATTTACTACTATTCTTAAAATTGGGGCTTTAATCTCTGGCTCAATAAACACAGTTTGTTTCTTACTTCATGGCAGATTTTCCAAGGAAATATAAACTACCTGCACGAGGTGAGGAACAACTTCATTCCTCCCATCGAGGCTCGGTTTGTGAGGATAAATCCAACGTTATGGCACCAGAGAATCGCACTAAAGCTGGAGCTGGTTGGCTGCCAAATCCTTCCAGGTAAACATCGTTGGTTAATCAGCTGATAAAGGTTAGATCCACACCGATACATTTTCATTAACAGAATTTTAAAGTAACCCACTGACCTTTTTTATGATGATAGATGAAAGAGTTTTCTAACTTTAAACGGAGCCAATCATGTTTTTTCCTCAGTTTTAAGCGCCTGAAAACTCCAGAGGAGTAAAGACGCAACACAATAAAACGGAGCTGGTGATTTGACCCTTTGAAAATGGAGTGTGGATGAAGCCGAACAAAAATAACAGGAGTTTTATTATCCAAGATTATTAGATGCAATTTCTTTAAGCAGGGAGGGTGAAACCCAGGACGTTCCCCACATCTCGTCATACCCCCCCTCATGCGGGAACAAAACGCCCCCCTGACCTTGGCCAAACCACACACACCCCAGACATAAGGAACACCACTATGCCTCCACACAACAGCCAAGGTGCGTCAGACTTAAAATACACAAGCTTGTTCTGGATCTCCAGGAGAGACGGTTGTTCTGGGATGTTTATTGTCGTATCTTTGCTGTCAGATGTGGCGCTGGCTACAGTTCTGGTTCCTGTGTTGGTCATAGTTCTGAGTGCTCTCATCGTGACTGTGGTTTGTGCTTGGCACTGGAGGAACAGGTATGAACTCTTATCATTATAACGTGTAAAATGAAAACGTCTGTTTTTGCCTCCATTAGTAATTTTCCCCCGTTGGCAGGAAAAAGAGCTCAGAGGGAACTTATGATCTTCCTCACTGGGATCGTACAGGTATGGCATCACTCTATAGCTGCGTATGTGATTTGTGAGCGTTAAACTGGAAGGACTCATATCACTGTGCTCCTGCTGCAGACTGGTGGAAGAGCATGAAGCAGCTGCTGCCATCCAAGATGATGGAGAGTGAGGATTCAGTTCGGTACAGCAGCAGTGAGGTGGGCCGACTGACGGGGAGAGGAGCTGTTCCACGACTACACGCTGAGCCTGCAGGTAAATACTGCTCAATAACGTGACCTCTGAAGTCAGCCACCGTTCAGACTACATGCAGCGTGTTCCTGCTTTCATGATGTCTGTGTGTGGTACTCTGGAGCCATTAAAGTTGATTAAATACCTCTGCTAGAGAGTTTGATTCCAATTTGATCGTTTGCAGGATTACGCAGAAACGAAATAAAATTTCGGAGCGTTCCAGACAAACTGAAGGATTCAGGATTTCTTTTTTTTTGGGTGTTGAACCTGACAGGGTGTTATTAGTGCTTTGCTTATCTAACAAAATATTTCAAAACTGTTGTGAAACATTTTCTTCTGAAAGGACATTGCAGCCATTAGTCAGTTGTTTATACAGATCTGTGTGGAAATGAGGAAATAACTGACAACTTGTTTGAAATGTTTAGTCTTTGAGTTAAACATCAGTAAAATTGGTCAGGACATCAGATGATTAAAAGATGCACAGTGAACGTTTCTTGTTTGAAAACTTGTCCTTACGAAACACATTTTTTTCAGCCATGAGTGTGTGCACGTCCTTAAATATCTGCAAAGCAACAGTTTTATTTTACTTTGTTCACATCTGTTTTCTGTGACAACTTGTTGTCGTGTTCTTTTGCATTTGTTGACACGTGGCTTCACTTCCTGTCACCATGAGGGGGAAAGTATGAATCTGGCACCTGCATGGACATGCACAGCATTTTTGATTTAATAATTTTTTATCCAAAAGCAATACAAGGGACTACTTGGTTATTAATACACTTCAACATGCTGTTTTTTCAGAATACGCCCAGCCGCTGGTGAGTGGAGTTACAACTTTGGGTGCACGTTCCACTTTTAAACCAGATGAGGGTCCTGACCCAGGATATTCTGATCCTGACCTGTACGATGCCCCCATTTCACCGGACGTGTACCACGCATACGCAGAACCCCTGCCAGCTTCGGGATCTGAGTATGCTACACCTATTGTGGTGGATATGGGTTGCCATCCCTCAGGTGGCACATCTTTGACCCAGCCCGCCGCTGTGTGCGGTTTCATGGGTGCCGGGCCCGCCTCCCTTCTCTCCCGGACAGACAGTGGCCAGTCGGGGAGGTCGGCGTATGACACACCAAAGAACGCCACTGGACAGGCCACTGAGGATCTGACCTATCAGGTACCTCAGAGTTGCACTCAGAAGCAGACGGGACAGAGCTGAAGAGTTGGGACGCCTATGGCCTGACTCCGCCCCTCGCTGCCCAGCACAACCTGAGGCCGAACACAGAGGGTTTGTTAATGGACGAGGAGGCGTGAACCTATGAGCCCCGGAGCCTGGGCTCGAGTCTTGAATGAACACTACCTTAGCTTTAGATTCATCCGGAGATGTCTGTATTGCCTAATTGTTCCTGCATGGCCACGATCTGCTTGTGTAGTGCCATTACAGTCCTATCACTGAAACCACAGAGATGAATGTGTTAGTGCCAGGCGGGGGAGTCGGAAACAGAGAACGCTGACTACTATTTGATTAAGACTTTGTCCCTGTTCTGTGATTCTTAGTAGTTCTTGCATTCTGTGAAACTGTGATATCCACTATTCATTTTTTTTACTCTGTTACAGTTAAATCAGGTTCAAATCTAATGGTTCTCTTTTTGAATGAATTGCAAGTTGTACCCCACGTTAAAGGTCAAATAATTCATCCTCTCTAGACAGACTCTAGTTTTCATGGTACGTTCTTTGTCTTAGTTTAAAAGCATGACTTGAAATTGTGTATAGTTATATTAATTCCATTAATGCAGAATCTGTTAAAACTCTAAAGTGATTTACTGATATTTATTTTTTATTTCACATCCTGCTGAAGAGGAGAGACTCTTAAATAAACCCCCACAACGACCACGACCCACTGATCACAGAAGGAAAAACTGTGGTTCCACTGTCGTAGACTACGATGGAATGTTAGGGACATTAGAAAATTAATTCTGAGATTTCGAGAATAAAGTTGTAACATTAAGAGAATATAAGAAACGAAATAGAGAAGAAAGGAAAACCAAAAATGTTTTAGAAAATAAGCTGCAAGGAGAACTCATACTTATCATGAACCAATCTGGTGAAACTATGAAACAGGCAATTTCCTCCAAGTCTGTGATTCTTTCTTCAGGAGAGACTCAGCTAGCCTGGAAATAAGACTACAATTGGGGCATTTTCTCATAGAATTTCCACTTTACCCTCGAAAACCACTTCTGCTTCAGCCTGCCCCCTATACTCAGTCGTAGTAGACGCTGTACTGACGATTAAGTGTGGGTTTTTTTCCCCCCAGAGATGTACGTTAACTTGAAGAGGCTGATGAGGAAAATTAATTCACCAAACTCCCCAAAGAGAAAATACTTTCTGTAGTATTGGAGACCAAATGTTGATTCACAACACAATCATGCCATCAGCGCAGGTTTAGCCAAAGAAACAGTGAAACAGTCTTAACATAGGGAGACAACATTGTAGTTTAGAGGGTGTTGTAGAAAAGGTACAGAGAGCAGAGGTGTCTGAGTGAATCTGTTACAGCTAATAATTCATAGTTTCCCGTGTTTGTTTATTTGTGTATCGTGGTGATCGTCTCATGTTGAAGTGGGTGCGACGTGTTCCTTCCTTGTTATTAATGTGCATCGACATCTGTATGCGTGGAAAGCTGTTTCCATATTTCAGTCCTGTGTGTGTGTGTGTGTTGTGTGATGATAGTTGTTGTAGCAGGCTGTGTTGAGTTGTCTGTAGCACCAGTAGACTGCATTCCCCTTCTGTCCACCTGTGGTACTGACCCGACCAAACACAACGTGGCAGGAGTGTCGAAGGAGAAGAAGAAAAATGGAACGAGCTGCTTTAGAAGTTTTTAAAAAAAAAATTTTTTTAAACGAACCATCAACCTCCCCGGAGGGACGGTGCTGTTCACTCACAGCTGTGCCACCAGTTGTGCTTTGATTATCGCTCAGTAACCGAGGCGATCGATACGCAGAGTTTTGGTGCTCGCTCCCTGGTCACAGAGGGTTTGTGTTTGTGGCTCTCACAGATTGTATATAGAGAAATAAAGAGTTATTACGTTATTATGTGATGGTTTATTTCAATCGTCAGCTGATGTCAGAACATTAAAAATCACTGCACATTGAAAAAAGGAGGTTGTTGGACCAACTTTAAAAAAAGAGCAGATTGCAAGAACAAAAAAAAAATTGAGTTTGGTCAAATTACAATCAATGAGTTGTATTCACACAATTTATGACTTTGATTTGAAGAAACTTTGTTTTTCATTCTATGAAGTTGTTAAATGTTTGTCTTTTTTCAGTGCAGGCAACTTGATTCATTAACCTTTCGTTTCAGACACGTAGAGTCTTCACAATTACAAATGCAGTTAGAAATTTTTATCCTCAATCAACAACCATATTTTACTTTATGTGAAAAACACAATCAGTCATTTTTCTGTGATACTTTGATTTACAGCTAAATATCTGTTAAGTTAAAGATGTCTTCAGTTCAAGTTTTACTTCTGTGTTCAGTGTTAATGAACACAAGTCTCCAGGCAACCACTGAGTCGGTGCACATTGTAAACAAATACCTGCAAAACAGCAGGTTGCATCGTTACTTGAAGCATTTAGCTCAAAGCTTCTCTGAACCCTGAGAGCTGCTAACATGACTGTGGATTAGTCTTACTGAATCACATCTTAAACTCATGTTAGCTCCAGTACGACCCTGATGTAGAAAAAGCACTAGATGAACATTTTATCCGTCCGTCCGTCCGTTATCTATATTTGAGGATTAACTGGAAGATATAGAGACAAACATCCATTCACATTCACACCTATGGGCAAGATTAGATTCCTCACAAACATTTAAACTCTGCACAGACAGAGGTCGGTCGTACCAGGACCTTGCCATAAGACGACACTGCACATGTAATCTCATATTATTACAATTCAAGGTTTTGTCTGCTGGCGTCCCTCTTTATTATACATCACACTTTCAATCGAGTGGAGTTTTTGTATAACTTATTAACTGATAATGTGATACTTGGAATAAATATAATTATCTTATAAATATTAACAGTGCATGAAAAACATGGTGTGTATTAAAAATGCAAAAGTTCATCAATTCCAAGTAAAGAAAACTGAAATCTGTCACATGTGGATCATTAGTCATTTCTTCATTTTTGTCCTGTCTGTAATAAATTAAGATAATTTTCTTTAAACCTTTTTTCCGTTATGTTGTTTTAAAAACAGTAATTATCGATCTTCAGCTGCTTGAACGTTTTTACCGTTTTACCCTTCACCCCTCCATGTTCTTCCCAGTCTTTCCAAACTTGCACCACACCACCGTGAGGACAACGGCGATCAGGAGGATCAAACTGCTGGTCACCAGGTAAGCGATGGGCAGGAAATGGTTCTGACCTCCGAACCAGGTCAGCGTGGTCAGCACCACTTCCTTCCTGCCTTGGAAATGCTGCACGGGGAAGTCTGGGAAGACGGAGGTCAAGGATGAAAATAGGCGATGGCAAAGTGAAGCTTGATGGAAAGTAGCTGGCCTGTGGTCTGAAAATAGTCGCCAAGACACAGGAAAGAAAAGCACACAATGGGACGTGTGTGACCTGATTTAACCGCGACAGCAGTGAAAGGATACTGTAGGATATGTCGATGGAGTAAGACCCTGCTGAAAGCCCCTGAGTGAAGGGGCTGCCGCCTCGGTATAAAATCCCATAGAGCTTCTTGAAGTTGGGGAAGGCTGCTTCCCTCATCCACACGATCAGGGCGTCGTTGATGAAGCCGTTGTTGGTTGAATCTAACGGATCCAGCTCGTACACGGGTTTCTGCCAGAACAGAGGCTTTGCTGTGCCTGGGGGAGAAATTTCAAACCAGACACAATGACGAAGTGAGTCGAAATGAAAAATACAGATCCTGTGTTTGGTTACATCTGGATTTATTCACCTTCAAACACTTGAGCCAGGGTCAAGTTGTCCATCTTCGGGTTGCGGTACTTGACATTTTTGTCCGTGTACCAGGTGATGCCTCTCTGCAACAAGGGGACTTTCACCGAGCTACCGGTGGATTCATGATAGAAAAATGTGAAGGAGTCTGGGAGAAAAGATGAGAGAGATATGTGATGATGGGAAGACGGAGAAGGGATGTGACGATCGATTGAGAAATGGCGTCTTACCGTTGAACATGCTGTTGGCCACAGCACCACAGGGGGCGATGGGGAGTCCGTTCTGGTCTCTGTCGAAGGGTTTGCAGTAAGAACTTGGGTTCTGGTGAAGGAACGAGGTGAATGAAGAAACACAGGACCATTATTTACCAATTCAAACAAGCAACAAAGCAGAGGTTGAATTTATTAAATTACATTCAATCAACGACTGTATTCTATCAGAGGTTCAAGAACACAGTTTTCTGCATAGATAGATGTTGTTAGTCATTTTTGTCAACATCTAATAAACAGGAAGTGAAGCGTGTCATTCTTGTGAATTTAATTTCCTGCAGTCACTCAAAGTGCTTTACACTACCTGTCACCCCTTCACACACACTCATTCATATATAGCACTTAGACACTTTTCTATCTGGGCCATCACCAATTAATACACGGAGCTACCTTTAAGTTATTCTTTCTGCCGACCATCTGTCCATCGTCTCTGGAGTCCATGTATCTACGGAGGTTCTGGTGGAAGTTCTTGAGGCCGTAATAGAAAAAGACGTCTCCCTGGAGCAGCAGAGGGGAAAAGATCATCAGCACAGAAATGAAGCAGAACTCCATCCTTGATTCACGATATGGTGATTCGATTGACTCGGAGGGGCCAACATAATCTCAACTAGAGGCCAATTTACAAGCCTCTTCAAAGGCTTCAGTCTCACTAGAGCAGCTGAACTTGCGGACCAGATGCAGCTGAAAGCTCTGATTAAAGCTTCTACGTGAACCTTGAGTAAGATTACCTCGTCCCACTCTTTGAGGTTATTTACCTTGAAGGGTTTCTCGATGTTGAGGACCACGGTGCAGCTGCAGCTCTGTCCTGCGTGGCTCTCATTTTTAAGCTTTTCATAACATTTGTCACATGTCCCAGCTTTGGTGTAATCCATCTGGAAAGACAGGAGTTAATTGTTCTGCATATTGTTTCTGTTGACGAACCCCAGACCTTTCCTCTCTGACACTCCTTTTTTTTATTGCACACAAGAGGCACTCGGTCTCTTCCTCTCTTTGTATCTTACACACATACACGGTATTTCAATACAATGCTTCCACATAAAAAAAAGCAAGTGTACTTTTCACAACCACACTCACCTTTATTTCCTGTGTGCTCTGAACTGTGAGAAGCAGCCACACTCCTAGCAGCATACATATCAAAGCCATAAAGTAGAAGAAAGGCAGCACGGTGTTGGCAGTCAACATGGGAGACCAGGCCGGTAGCCTCTGCTGTTTGAAAGCCGAGTTGTCTGGCCTCCGGGCCAAGGGCCCAGGCTTGCCCTTCACTTTGCCCATGAGCAGGACCTTCAGCGGGGGACAGGAGAGGAACTTGCTGCACAGCGGGAGAGCAAAGAGATTGTGTGCGAGGAGGCACTAGTATCTTCTCTTCCTGTTCTCTATTTCAGCGATATCTTGCTGCACACACACACACATTCTGCTTGCCAAGAGATTTTCCCAGCAGGCCTTGCAGGGCGGGGAGATTGTTGTGTCCTGTTACTTATTAACCAGAATTCTTTACTATCTACCTCTTTGTTTTTTTCTTTATTTTCCATATTTTCTTTGTGAAAATGTTTTTTTTTTTCCTTCATCACTTCCTTCATACAAGGAAACACACACTTTGTTTATTTACATCTAAATCACACAAAGGATTATTTTACATCTTTATTGTAGTTTTCTGTGGGAGATCATCTGTTTGTTCCGGGCTCATTTGTGCTGCTTTTAAAATGCTTTATTAAAGGATGTTTTGATAAACGAGGCTTCCCAGTGGGCAAGTTAACTCATGATCTCACATTGTCAGTAGGAGGGACTTCCCAAGGTCGGAGTAAACAAACAGAGGGACGCCGGCTCCATTCTGAGTCCGTTTATTCAATCCATCACACTGGGACATTGTGTTGAACTACAAGAGTGAACAAACATTTGACACGGTTTCTGAAAATAGTAAAAACCACAACACAGGTTTCACACAGACAAAAAAAGCAATCAAACAGGAAGAGGCCCCTCGGCTTGTTGTCAGGAGCTTTTAACATCAAGTCGTCACGTGGATTATCTGCAAGTTTATTGTGTGCATTTAAAAAAGTCCAATTTTGAGTTTGCTTGCTCTGCAGCCAGTCAGGATACCACTGTCCAGCAGCTTCATGAAGTCGAGTTTGATCTGGAAAAAAAAAAACGAACATGTATTTACTTGAAAAAGCAAACATCACTTAAAACTGCGTCCATATATCTTTTAAAGCATAAAGAATCAAATGTTGCCTGCATGTTGGGCTCTTAATCATTGTCATTATGTATTCATCTTCCCCCCTCAGTACAATGTCAGAATGATTAAAAATATGAATTCATTAATTAATGTGCATCACCAACAATCCACAACCACATCTGAAAAAGAGAAGGGGCAGGTCCACATTTCAGGAGCAGGAAAAAGGCCAAGATTTGCTTGTAAAATGAGAATTGATCAGTTATTTTAATAGTGACTGAAGTGATAAATGAATTGAATGTTGATGCTTAAAATGTAGATTAAAGATGGAAACAAAGGAGCATGTAAACTTCAGCAGATAATGTGAAAACCAACATTACACATACTGCACACAGAAAAAAATAAATATATTAGAGTAGAGAGTAGTATAATATTAATAAAAGTACATTTCTTTGTAGAAGAGGACTTTAAATATCTGCTGATACTGTCGAATACTTTATTGAGTCATCTTCTGTATTTGGTGAGAGGAAGATAATTATGTTTTCAGTCCAGCAGGGGGCAGTAGCTCACCTCGGGAATGTCTACCATCCTCCTGAGCTTCTGGTCCCTCCAGTTCCAGTCCAGAACCACGTACCTCAGTGACTGCAGGTTCAAACCCTCTGATGACAATAAACAAGAGTTTCCACAGATAAAGAATATTTTAAAAACTTAAAGTTCAAACAGAATCTATTATGTTGGGATCTACCTTTCTCGATGAGAGCGCTGATTCTGCCTGGTGTCCCCACGCCAATGTGTGTGACGCCTTTCTGCAGCAGGTTCACCTGCTCCTCAATCTGTAGAAAGACACACAAATACTGTTCTGGTAAAACTGTTCATTGCACAGAATCCACAGGCATCACAACAACTCTGTGCCGTCTTCAGTACCTTGATATGTTTTGCAAAAAGTTTTATTGCTTTGGTTTCACCCTTGAATGTGGTCAGCTGCCTGTGAATGATAAAAACAAACAGCGCTCACGTTAGGACTAATTAAAAGCTGTAGACTACAGAACTAACGGTGTGTCACTTACTTGATGAGTTCAATGGTTCGGAGAGCAGAGCTACAGACGATGAGCAGAATCACAGAGCTCTTCTCTGTGTGCTGCTTTTGAATCTTTGCCCATTTGGGACAAACTAATGGTAAAAGGAAAAAGAAGCAAAGATTATATGTGTGTTTAGAAGTATCAGATGAGAGCAGATCTGTCCACAGTGAATTAAGAAACATCACTGACCAAGTTTGAGATAAGAGGAGAGGGTGTGCGTCAAGTCGTTACAGGACAGGAAGCAGGAGTCTGGAGGATGCAGGAGGACAGACGGTGACCTTGGTGAATCAACACATCAGCAGATATCGACTGAAGCTCCGAGCTAAAGGGGACTGGAGCCCTGACTCACCCTGCAGGTTCAGCTCCTCCTGTTCGATCACAGAGCGCTTGTCTGAGAAGTAGTGAGAGACCAGGCTCTGCAGGTCGGCCGCGCAGCCCGGCTTCGGCTCAGAGGTGGCCAACACGTCTGTGATCGTCTTCTTCTTCTTCTGCCAAAACAAGGTCGAATTTGATGCAATACTCACTGACACATATTCACCACTGCACTGAGAAACAACTGCTTCTCTTTGCAGCAGCAGGTGTCACCACACTCACCTTCCTCTTTTTCTTGGGTTTAGTTGACTTTTCATCCTCAGTCTCTTTCTTTGGAGGGATTACACTCTCACTCTGTGATGAGACAACAGACAGAAAACACGTTTCAGGCAAAGTACTTATATTTTGAGTAAGTAAAGAATGTTTAGAATGTGTTGAACTATTAGAGGTAAAACGAAACATCACTCTATGAGACGTTTTACCATTTTTTCTGGATATATGTAAAGTTACCACAAAACAGAACTTTTCACCATCTGTTCAGCTCTTTGTGCTGTAGCAGCCTTGTTTTATATTACATGTTATTTCTATTTCCAATATTTTCAAAATGTTGTCTTATCCAACAGAAACTCAATGTGTTGATGACATTACAGTGTATAAACTAACTTTGGTGAAAATCTGACCAACTTTAAAATATGTTTTTTTTTTGTACTGTGATATTAAAGGTCCAGTGTGTCAGATTTAGGTGAAAGGGATCTATTGGCAGAAATTTAATGTAGAATAATCCTCATGATGTTTTCACTAGTTCGTTTCANTGGCAGAAATTTAATGTAGAATAATCCTCATGATGTTTTCACTAGTTCGTTTCATCTAAATTGTATGAATTGTAGTTTTCTTTACCTCAGAAAAGGTCCTTTATATTTAAATACTTTATATTTACATCGAGTTGCCGCCAATGTTTTTTTACATTAGTCCAGATTGGACAAACTAAACACCTTTTGAGTTTTTATGACAATTAAAGGCTTCCACAGGTTCTTTTTTTCATGTTTGGAAGGAGAGGGTGAGATGAGGGGTGTTCAGCTGCAACATGCAATTTCAACACTAGATATAGATAATAATATATATAATATCACTCATGATACTGTTATTTTTCATATACTGTTTAGATGAATACGAAGCTGAAAAATAGCTGTAAACAATGTGAGAAGAACAATTTGAGACCAGTCAAAGTCAGTCTCCCCAAAAAGTTCAAACGTGTTTAGCTGGTATCCCTTAATTTGGATCCAAGACACATAAAATTTCTCATGTGTGAAATCAGCGCGCCAAGTGTCATTGAGTGATGATCTGATACAGAATAAACATCTCCTGGATGAGCAGGTATGACAGAGTTATTAAACAACAGACGGATACCTCTTCACTCTTTTTCTTCTTCTTAGCTTGAACAGTTTTCTCTGTTATCTTTTTCCTTTTCTCTGGTTTTGTCTTGGTGTTGGTTTTTTCTGTCGGAGGTTTTTCTTGTTCCGTCTCCTCCTCCTGCTCCACCTCAGATGCATCTGAAAATAAAAGAGAGCGATGTTGTTTATAAATCTGGACTCATGGAGTTAAAGTTTAATCTATTGGTGCTAGAGTAGTGACGGTTATAATGTTAGTATGAGGCAATTCAGAGAAAAGAACATATTTCAGATCAGCCTCTTTGCCTGTAAGAGAAATGCCTGACCACCATGACATCTGGGAAACAGACAAACTCCTCTTATGATACAAGCTTTCCGAGTTAGAATCTGTTTCCATAGTTTGGCCCTAAACCACAGATTTAGTGTTTGCACATCACGTCTCAGACTGTTTGTCCAGTACACATTTCAGTCACGACAGGAAAACAGAAATACACAAATGTGACTTGAGATAACAACAATGCAGCAGAGCTCAAAGCATCTGGTTATATTTAGCCTCCCCACTGCTACCACTTCTCAGCGCATACCTCTGGTTTCATGCTATGATGTCATGCTCAGACCTTTTGATATATACACATGCTTGTTCAAAATACTTTAAAAACAGATGCCAGAATGAACCCTGCAATAAATCTGCAGGTTTTATTGCACTGCCTTGGCCTCAATATGCACAGCAAAAAAACTGTAATTTGACTTCGTCCTGTGATTTTTCAATATCAAAGAACTAACAGGCCGACATTGACTCCTTCTATTTCAGTGGACGAAGGCTATAAATCATCTGTGAGAAGTTTGAGTGTGGAGTTTAGATATCAATCAGTCGCATCACATCAGGTAAATGACTGTTGTAATGTTACTGATTGGAGAAAAGGCCAAAGGATCAAAAAGTGATAAGAGATAAAAGCACTAGAAACTGTTTTCTATCATAACTGATTAGAGGTTGTTGCACTGACAAGCCAAAACACAACATCAAAAAGCTCCATGTGGCTGATGCTGCTTTTACATCATATTGTTTAGACTGTTTCAGTAATGAGCAACTAAACTGGAAAATCTTTCATCAAGCTCCAAACTGTAATTGTGAGTTAAAGATACAGGACATTTCTGACAGCAACAATTTGAACTGCAAGGATGAGTTTATGAAGTGATTAGTTAACCGAAAATGGATCTGTGACTATTTTCATGGTCAGTCAATCATTCTGAGTATTTTATAAGCAACACTGCCAAAGTTTTCTGGTTGGACCTTCTCCCAAAAGGCTCCATTACCTTAGACTCTGGAACATTGCGACTGACATTTGTAACAAATTTAGGATGTTTGAAATAAAAAACACAAGTGCTAGAAAACTGTTGGCAAAATGGCAGCAAGCCACGTCTAGTTGGAAGTTCCATCAAAATCAAACCCAACATGATTTAATGTGAATACAAGGCTAA